AATGATTTTTGTAGGCTTGAGCCTGGTTTGTGGCCTGTTAAAGGTTTTTATTTAGGTCTGGCCTGACCTGTTTAAAAGTCTGGCCTGTTTAAAAGCCTGTTTAACAATAAACATTTAATATTTTCAGTTTAGTCATTAATTTTAGAGTAAAATCCCTATTAAGTCACTATAACTTAGTGCATTTTACAAAGTAATCACTCTAAATAGGCCGACCTATCAGGCTTATAAGGCTTTTTAATAGGCCTAAGCTTGGCCTGTTTAATTAAATAGGCTTTTGAAAAGGCCTGAGCCTGATATTTTTATTAAATAGGCCAGGCCAGACCAGACTTTATACATGCCAGGCCGTAGGCCCCTGTAAACCGGCCTGGCCTATTCCCACCCCTACTTACATGTTAGCATGTTAGGTGGATAAAAGTAGTTGTCAATCTCTTATAAGTCTTTAGGTTTGTTAGAAATCATGTCGAAGAGTTATAGTTTTTTCAAGGATGTTGAAAGTTTGAGGTAATTTCTATGAAAGTTTCATTTATGAGTTTTCTAAAATGTATATTATTTTTGTAGTTTTCAAAGGTACAACATTCAAGGATGTCGAAAGTTTGAGGTCATTTCTAAAATATATATGTGTGATGTTTTGTGATGGGTGGAATGAAATAATACAATGTTTCAATCGTTGGGATGTATCATTTTGTTCGACTATATAAGGAGGATTTGGAGTAATAATCGTAAATCATTTACTTCTTGTTCTCACATTGTTACATTCTTTTAGCGACTTCCCTTTATTTTTTTCTTGAATTTAGTTATCATGATGACGAAGAGGAGTGTTGCAAAAGGTATGATAAAATAGAGGCAAATCATTCATGTCAGATAAATGACAATATTTTTTAGTGTAAAACTCATCGACTCGAGACTATAAAAACCTATTGTTGAACCGTAGTGTATCATGAGAGAACTATGAGTTTGAGTTTACCATCCCTTGGGTTTGTATCATATGAGTGATTAATGAGATATCATTGAGAATCCAAAATGATTTTACCTTCCTCTTTTTATCTTGAAGGTTGAGTTTCATCTTCCCATGCACAATTTTGTGAGTGATGTATTGAACGCATGTGAGATAACAGCAAGCTAATTGATTAAAGGCTCTTAGGGGATTATCATAGGCTATTTTATTTTTATCAGGAGAAGAAATGAGTGCCACAGTAGATGTAACACCCCAAATTTCGGGCTAGTAGTTTCGGGTTTATCCGAGAGGTAAATGAACCATGTGAAATTCTTAATTAAAGTCATAGAGCTTAACCGGGTTGACATTAGGCCCAATTAGGCATAAAAAGAATATTTTTGAATGGTAGAAAGATTAGGAAGTATCAAATGTGCAATCTCACATTTTTCAAAAAGATGAAGGCTTTTACATCTCTTCATTTTCTTATTTCCTTCTCATTTTCCCTCTCATTTCTCTTCAAACTTCATGAATCAAAGGTAAATCCTTTGAGTTATTTCCTACCTCTTTTAAGTTTCATTTTCATCATAAATCCCTCTAGCAACATCATTTTTATGATTCAAAGCTTTGAGTTATTTGTTTGCAATAAAAGTGAGGGTTTTATCATCCAAGTCTTGGTGGAGGGTGTTTTCTAGCTAAATGAGCTTCATTTCAGGATTCAAAAATTAAGGTAGTATATTTCTAATCATTTGGAGTGTTAAGGCTTTCATAAGCATGATGATTTGTTAAGATTTTGGTATTTGAGCATTTTGGGGTTTTATAATTGATTCATGCCATAGATGACGAATTTAATGTTAAGCATGTGTTTTTATGACACTTTATGACCCATAAAACTTCCTAAAGCTTTAGCACATGATTAAAAACTAAACTAAGACATTTGGGATGATTTTTGGGTGTTTCCGAGCTTAGATAAGACATTTATAGGTTCGAGTATCGATGCTCGATGAACAATATCGATATTGGATGAATTAGGAAGAAATATGGGCAATTTTAGCAGAGAATATTGATATTGATGAGAGGAGTGTCGATAGCGATCCCTTGGTATTAATACTAAGGGTTGTAGTATCAATACCAGATGCTCGGTATCGATACCGCTGGCATACATATCGAATAAATTGGTATCCATACCAGAGGACTGGTATCCATACCGAATGAACTGATATCCATGTTGAAGGCTTGATATCAATACCTAAAGTGGTTGAATGACTTCAAGATGTCAAATAGACTCAAGAGTGAGAAGTTTAATATTGGTTGAGATCGAGCATCTAATATGGGTGTGAGAGGTTACTAAATTACCTTCGGGAGCCAAAATTACTAAATTACCCTTGTAGGCCTCGTAGCGTATACTAAGAATGAAATATCGTTGTAGAGGGTGTATTGGTAAGCGATATGATGAAATAATCAGATTATGAAATAGATGAATCGAGTACTGTAAGAATGACAGAGAATGATAGACGTACAATTATCCCTATAATTCGAGGGTGAATTCAGAGAAAATATGGTAAAAGCATATATAATATCACTAACCAGTAATGAACTCGAGTCAAGTATCATGCTAGCTAGTATCACGACCAGTGAACAACAAACACAATAATTATCATGAAGTTGTGAAATGCATAGAGACTTTTCTAGAGATAGAGAATGACTAAAATGCCTTTAAGTAACAAACATCCATAATAGAACAACTTAATAACTAATAGAAGTAACAGACTAATAAACCCTTGCATGACATTCTAGGTGAGAGAATGAGCGAGATAGCAGCCAGTGAGTAGATGACTCACTTTAGTGTGTCCGACTATATTAGAGAGTAGCCAAGTTACTGTAGTTGCGCTAGTGGGGCATTGTCAGTGCGAGAGGCACTTCAGTGGCTAACTAGGGCACAAGGCCCGAGCACTCACGAGGAGTGGGTTAGCGATGTTATATAGTGTTGTGTGGCCTTTGGGACCTTAGATATGCATGTATAGTTGCATCAGTCTAGTACAACAGATACCCTTAGAGTTTGGCTTAACGACTGTGTGAGACTGAGCCAATGCTTCAAATGAGAGAGAATTGTACCGATGCTATGTGACATGGGTTCTCCTCCATAATCTACCTGATGGCTATGTGAGGACCAAGAGATCATTCAACAGTTTAGTGGGAATTTCATCAATGTTATGTGACACAGGGTTCCCTCATTTAACTAGTGTCTGATGGCTATGTGAGACCAGATAATAATCAGTATTGTATTTATATATGCACAACAGAACCAATGTTGCATTCAGAATGCACATGAGTGTCAGTGTCGTATTTAGATAATGTGTAGCAATTACAGTCGTTAGGATAGAGACCCTTAAAGGTGTACTCATGACAAGGCCTTTAGTAGAGGATTAAGGAAAGCGTGAAACTTCTACTTCAATGATAGAACATTCGAGCCCTGAGTAGGTAACACTTGATCAAGATCATGCATGTACCTACTGTTTAGTACCATATCTTTAGCATGCTTATGTTTTTAGACTCATAACGCTGCTCTAGATAAGTGATTATACTACTGAGCTTTGTAAGCTCAATGTTCAGATATTTTTCGTTCGCAGGTTAGTAGCCAGAGCTGTTCGCGGAGCATTGTTGTAGCAAGACTTCCAACATCTCATTCAGAGTATTGTACTATAACTTTAGTGGGCTTATATATTCATAGAACCTTATTTATGTATTCAAATTTATAACTCAGAATTTGTACTATTTTGATTTTAAATTATGTGTCACGGAGCTCCAGTTTATAAAGTGTTTTATAATTATTTTTTATGTCTTTTATGGTACCATTCAGTATGTTTAAAATGAAAATAAATAGGTTTTAAAAATCAGGGTTGCCTCAACAACCCAACGTGACACTTTAAGCTCATTCGAGTTTAGAGTGTTACAGCAGATATGTTGCATAATCTTTTCACACTTAATAGTGTGGCTCAGAGGGTGATTTGAGATTTTTTTGCTTAACGCATAGGCATAGGAACACAGTTAAAATTTAAGAACTTAGTGTAGGTTGGATTAGTAGATTGAGATCAAGTTTGGATCATTTTTTATTTATCAATGTGATTCCGAGGTTGTATGTAGGATTCAATAATAATTAATTACTAATCATAAGTTTTATTTAGTAATATTTAAATATTTTATTTTAGAGAGAATGCTCTTATTTTAAAACGTTAACTATTAATTGACCTACAATTTTCTTTATTGGAGGGATTTTTTTATCTCAAAATAAAATATTAAGAAATAATATAACCTTAAAAAGAATATATATCAAATTAATTTTTTGAATTAATTATTGATCTACGATCTATTAACCTACTAATTCATTTCACATTTTGTAAATGTTCGTTATGAGGTGGCCCTCTCAATCCAAATTGCTCCATACACCAATACTTGTATTCAAATTGACAGTGTGTAGAGAATTCAGTATCTTATATCATTAAATCAAAGAATTATTGGAATATCAAATTAATTATTTAATCAAACATTAAATAATTTTTTTATTACTAAGCCAAAATATACCCTTGAGTTATTTACTTGATCCTTGAGAGTTGAGAGGAAACAATCTAAAGACAGACAGGAGACAGGCTTTAAGCTTTGCTTGTCAAATTACCTTTGTTTTTCCTCGCCTTTTTCTCTTTACTCTTCTTTCAAGGAAACGACGAAAAATAACACACCTTCAACTTTTATTTCTTCATTCAATCATCAACAAGAAAAGCAGAAAAATAAACTACTATCATTACTGTTTTCTTCCTTTTTCTTGTTTGGATCGGTTCTGGAAGAGCTTCTTCGGAGAAGAAGGAACACAAACAAGTCCAAAACATCAAAGCTGTCTCTCTTTTCTCTTCGAACAAACACCATTTTGTTTTTTCCTTTCTGGGTTTTTCATTTCATGAGTAATTTCAAGCTGTTCAGCATTGTTTTCTCTGTTCTATGATCAGGTAACTTGTTTTCCCCCTCTTTTAAGCTTTTTTCTTTGCTGTTTTTTCTTCTTTTTTGCTTGTTTGCTCCTTAGTTTGAATTTATTTATTTTATTAATTTTTGGTCATGCATTTTCCCAATCAAAGTTCGGATTTTCACTCTCAAAAAGGAAAGGAAAAAAGTAAATTTTTTTGGGTTTTTGAGAAATTTGAAAGTTATAAATATGTGTTTGTTTTCAAGGGCTGAGGTTTTGCATTCATTTGATTGTTAATTACAGCTTATTATTTTGTTTTAAGGGTCAGTTATTGACATCTCGTTATCTCCGTAAGCTTTGGTATTTCCTTTAATAGTGCTAAAGTTCCATTTCTATGTTTGAACAGCTTAGTATTTGAGTTATTATTTGTATTTTGTAACTGTTGAATTTGGTGTTTTAGGGACATTTAAGTTTGAAGATTCTCTAATTAATGGATTTATCTTAGAGGAAAGGGGTTTCACTTGGCTAAATTGGACCTCGGTTTGGCAGTGATAGGTTTTCATTTTGAATTATTCAATGGAATCACTTGTTATTTCTTCATTAAAGAGTCAAAATCATGGTTCTGGTATAGAAAAAGCTATCCCGGCTCCAACATCCGGGGTAACAAGGCCGTCGTCTCGGCCTCCGTCTCCGAAACCATCTGGAAATGAAGGGTCGTCTCCTACATCACATGGATCCACTCTTAATAATGGCGTAAGGATTATTCAACATCCGCATGGTTCTATAGGCTATCAAAATAATTCATACAAAACAGCCTATGACAACTTGCAGCATGAAGAATTGCCTAATATGGGAAAACTGAGTAAGAGGAAATCCGAATCGGTGGGAAAGGAAGAGTTTCTTATTTCAAGCCAGATGAAGGCGTTGACAGTGGAAAGTAAATCTAGTAGCTTCAAACATCAAGTTGATGGTCATACGAGTTTGAATTCAAGTGGTTCACTGGAACCTGAAAAAATTGTACCAAGTTCATGTAGAGGAGGCATTATGCAGTTAACCAACCATACTGGAACTCAACCAGAACTGAACTTTTGCCCAAGTTCTTTGAATAGTGTGTGCACTGGCACACAGTACACCGAAGCCAAACAAAGTTTTACCGACGCAGAAGTTAGTGAATGTGCAACTTCTAGCGTTGACAAGTCCGGTGAGAACGGTGAGGTGAGTAATTCATGTGATATAGTTGAGGGTAGGAAGACGAGCATTTATCGAGGGAGCACTGGCAGTGATATTAGTGATGAAAGCAGCTCTAGTTGTCTGAGCAGTGCCATCTACAAGCCTCACAAATCAAATGATATAAGATGGGAAGCAATTCAAGCTGTTAGATATAGGAAGGGGGATTTGGACTTTAAGCACTTTAGGGTGCTAAGGAGACTTGGGTGTGGGGATATAGGCAGCGTTTATCTATCGGAATTGACCGGCACTAAAACTTATTTTGCCATGAAAGTTATGGATAAAGCTCTTTTGGCAAGTCGTAAGAAGCTTCTCCGGGCTCAGACAGAGAGAGAGATTCTCCAATCTCTAGATCATCCCTTCCTACCGACTTTGTATACCCACTTTGAGACAGAGAAGCTTTCTTGCTTGGTCATGGAGTTCTGCCCCGGAGGAGACTTGCACGCTCTCAGGCAAAGACAACCAGGAAAGTACTTTTCGGAGCAAGGTGCCAGGTTAGCTATTGATCTTCTTCTCATTATCAGTTACTCTTTATGCTCAACTCTGCATCATTGCATTTTTTATTTTTATTGGATTTACTTAAGATTCTTTATGACAACTCTTGGCTCCATTTCCCCATCATATGTAGCATATAACACCGCTAGAAAGCTCATTTTGTCAGTATTGTAGTTCTTTATAAACATAAACCGATTTGTATCTAGTATCATGTCTAGTTCAGCAGCTAGCATTAACAAGCATGCAGTATTGGTTGTAATCTTATATCTAACTATCATCTTTCGACAGTTCTTGAAGTTTGTAGGACTAAATTTTAAATTTGGTCGAGTTTTGTCGACAATGTCTTCTCCAAGTTCATTTCAGGTTCCCGATTTTTGTCTTGTTCATTCAGATTTTAGGCAGCATATAAGATCTGCAGATTGAAATAAGTTGTGTTCTTCAGCATATCGGGTGACAATGCAGTCTGATAAGGACTGATTGCAGAATAAAAAAGATTAGGCCTAATACACAATTTGCCCCTCAAAAGGCCCAAAGTATACCCTTTTCCCCACAATGCACCCTAAAGCTTTTTTTTTTGGGTCCAGTTTGCCTCTTAAAGTTTTTCTTCCTTACATTTTTGGCCCCTGCTTAACAGGCATTAAATTTTTCTTCTACCATGGAAGAAGGAGGATGCCACAGGGCATGAGTTGATTGGTCCAATTTTTCTGTTAACTCTGGCCAAAAAATGTAAGGGAGGAAAACTTGAAGGGGCAAACTGAACCAAAAAAAAAAAAAGAACTTCTAAGGTGCAAAGTGGGAAAAAGGGCATACTTTGGCTGGCCAAAAAGATTGAACCAAGTAATTACTTCTAATTTATTGTCATTTGCGTTGAACATTTTCATTGCTTCACAGATTTTACGTGGCAGAAGTTCTCCTTGCTTTGGAGTATCTTCACATGCTTGGGATCATCTACAGAGACCTTAAGCCGGAAAATGTTTTGGTGAGAGAAGATGGACATATAATGCTTTCGGATTTCGATCTCTCTCTTAGATGTGCAGTCTCTCCTACTCTTGTCAAGTCTTCGAACTTGACCTTGGATTCGAAAAATTCCGCTTACTGTACTCGGCCTGCATGCATCGAGCCAACTTGTGTGATGCAGCCTGATTGTATTCAACCTGCATGTTTCGGACCGCGCTTTTTTTCCAGCAAGCCGAAGAAAGAAAAGCAAAGCAAAGTAAAGAACGAAACGGACCGCCAAGTGAGACCTCTTCCTGAGCTCATAGCGGAACCTACCGATGCTCGATCAATGTCCTTTGTGGGCACACACGAGTACCTGGCACCAGAGATCATTAAAGGTGAAGGCCATGGAAGTGCTGTAGATTGGTGGACATTCGGGATCTTTCTGTACGAACTTTTGTTCGGTAAAACCCCATTCAAGGGGACCGGGAACCGGGCAACTCTATTTAACGTAGTTGGCCAGCCATTGCGATTTCCGGATTATCCAAATGTGAGCTTCGCTGCTCGAGACTTGATCAGAGGTTTACTCATAAAGGAACCACAGAACCGGCTTGCGTATCGACGCGGGGCTACCGAAGTTAAACAGCATCCGTTCTTTCAGAGTGTGAATTGGGCACTCATTCGATGCGCAAATCCACCAGAAGTGCCGAAGCAAGCCATGATGGACTTCTCCTCCAGAACAGAAACGGCAAAAGCACCCGTCGATAACAAAGTTCCGGGTTTAGATGTGAAGCCTTCAGGTAATTACCTAGAGATCGACTTCTTTTAATTCTTGTGACCATTCTTCTTTCGCATAAACAGTGCTTGCGCCATTACCTCCACTGAATTCTCTGCTGTAATGGTCTAAACGTTTGCTCGTGAGAACGACCTATAAGCCATTAGTTCCGATATGTAGCAGATGTTGTATCTCCCCTTTGAACTCCAAGCATAATGATAAATGCAAATCAATAGAAATGAGGGATTAAGTTGTTGCCATTATCTTTTGCATTCTCATACATGTATTTATATTATGCAATATCAAATATAAGAGGTATGATTTAACTTAGTTCAATGATTCACAATACTCGAATAAATTAAGATAATTCTCAACAATTTAACATTAAACATTCATATTTTTAATATTCATGATGCTCGAACTTGATACCATAATAAACAATAATAATTCTTTTACTATTGAGATCGTTTAATCTGTGCTTTTATATATACGTTTAATACAAGTATATCCAATTTTTATTTTAACTTTTTTCCCATACATTTGGACCCTTGTTTGAATATCCAACATATGAGGATATTTATAAAAAAAATGAATAATCATAGCGCTTTGGTTCTCTCTTAGGCTCTTGGTTTTTTTTTCTGTCTATTTTAAAATAAAATTTTAAATTTATTTTATAAATTTTCAAATATAAATATTCAAAAAATCATTCTAAAATAACTGAATTGTTTTTTTTAATTTTATTCAATAAAAATTAACTTCTTTTAGATAATTTATTTTTGATGGGCCTTCTAGCAGTGAAATTTGAGCATCAGCAACTGATAAAACGTTCAACAATGACACTAAACATCCGAAATTTTCTGCCAAAAAAACCCACTAAAAACACAGCAAGAGTTTTTGGAGGCGGTGTTAAAACAGACCAGACACCATGAACGTCGAGAGAGAATGGACTCACACCGTTCAACGACATCGATTCGTTCTGTGGACTAATGGTTGATCCCCCAATGGCAAAATTAGCACCATGTCTGAAACTCGTCCCAATGGAATCAAGGTATGGACTCAAGTAAAGGTAAATCCAGGTGTTCAGCTGCAAACATGAACAAGAAATGTAAACAATAAACTTGTTAAAATAATACCTCGTGCTTTTATTATTATTCAGCTAAACTTCAATATATAATACATTGTACAAGCAATAACACAATAGCTAGAAATAATTGCTTCTAACTAACTCTCTAACAGCCTACTAACCAACTTCTAACAGATTAACTAATATCAGTTATCTCAACACTCCCCCTCAAGTTGGTGGGTGAAAAACATTTGAAACCCCTAACTTGACTAATAGGTACTCGTGCTGCTGTGTACCAAGTGCTTTGGTTAAGATGTCTGCAGGCTGTTCCTTTGAGGGTACGTGTTCTGCTACAATAAACCCTTCTTGAATCTTGTCTCTAACAAAATGACAATCAATTTCAATGTGCTTTGTTCTCTCATGGAAGACTGGATTAGAAGCAATCTGCAATGCAGCTTTACTGTCACAAAACAACTTGGCTGGTTGATCCTGTTTCACTCCTCGTTCACTTAACAGTCCATTTAGCCAAACTAATTATGCTGTAGTCATAGCCATACTTCTATACTCAGCTTCAGTAGAAGAACGGGCCACTGTGTTATGCTTTTTTGACTTCCACGAAACCAAGGAATTGCCAAGTTTTATACAATACCCTGTAAGAGATTTTCTTGACATTGGACAAGTTGCCCAATCAGAATCACGGTAAGCAACCAAGGCACACGTACTAGAGGAGTCTAGCAAAATTCCCTGCCCTGGATTTTTCTTAACATACCGCACAATTCTCAGGGCTACTTCCATATGCATCTTACTAGGCTTTTGCATAAACTGGCTTAAATGCTGAACTGAATAGGCTATGTCAGGCCTAGTGTGAGTCAAGTAAATAAGCCTGCCTATTAGCCTTTGAAACTGTGTCTTATCAACCACATCTTCTGCGTTTTGCTTCAAGCTCTCAGTATCCGAGGCAGCCAAGAAGTTGTTATTCTGTTCCAAAGGGGTTAAAGCAGGCCTTGCTCCCCCTGCCTTAATATCTTTTATTAATTCTAGAGCATACTTACGTTGGTTTAAGACAATTCATTTTTTTGATCGTAACACTTCAAGCCCAATAAAGTATTTTAATTCACCCAAGTTTTTCATCTTGAACTTAGAATTCAATGTGCACTTGAGCTCTTCAATCATATCAGTATTACTCCCAGTAATCAGTAAATCATCTACATACACAAGCACAATGACCAACTTTCCTGCTTCTCGCCTCTTGAACATCGAATAATCATGCCTACTTTGTTGAAACCCTGCTGATGTAAGTGCTTCAGATAGCTTCTTGTTCCATTGTCTAGAAGTCTGCTTGAGTCCATACAAAGACTTTTGCAGCCTACAAACCATATGCTCCCCTGGCTGGAAAAACCTTCCGGCAACTGCATGTAAACTTCTTCTTCAATCATATCAGTTATCTCAACAAACCTCAAATCAATTGAATGCATAAAGAGTAATTTGAGACGGTCATTTACCGATGAAATCAATTATGGACTGTAAGAACGATTGACCCACCAAAAATAACTTTTATATTATATATATATATATATATTAAAAATACTTTTAAATTTGTCACTAATACATAATCACGTTTCAACCACAAAAGTGTCTCTCGCCTCAGCCCACCATTACCAACCAATTGAACACAAAAGATACACACGCTTTATATCATATGTGCACGTTTGCTTTCTAAAAATGGATTTTTAAAAGTAATTTCTAAGTTTAATCCGTTGAAAATAAATTGCTCAACAAAAGATATAATCATATTTTAATAAATTATAAATGGTCATTTTACTTTCAAAAGCGTAAGACAATTTACAAAAAAAAATCTTAAAAGTAACATAACATTTAATAAATTAATAAAATAACATTTAAATTAAGTACTCTTATAATAATAAAAAAATCAAAAGTAAAGCATTCATGCCTCATTAAAAAATGTATTGTATATAAACATTTATCTCCGTTCAATTTTGATTTTTTCCCTAAGCTTTCCCGGTTATTCGATTTTGTATAAGTGTTAAATATATATATATATATATATTTGATCAGTATATTATATAAAAGTTTATTTTCATAATTTAATATTTATTTCTAAATATATGTTAAATATGAATATTAAATATGTTAAAAGAAAAATAAAAGCCTCGAGTAACATAATAAAAAGGAGCGACTTCATTAAGTCTCATAGGGATCAAATGCATCCTATTATTTTAGAAAAAATGATTAAATTTAAATTTATGTATTAAAAAAGGGAAAATTTACATACCTATTATTTTTAAAAAAATAAAAATATTAAATCTCTATTCTTAAATTTCTAAATCTTCAAAAATTATAAACATTATTATTTTATAATCATCAAAATTATTAATAAAATAAATTGTATTTTTGTTATAAAAACATGCACCATTTTCGAAGGATAAGGCCATAATGGTGTGAGGGTGTTGGGGTTTGGACCAGAGATGTACTATGCTTGAAGTTGAAGGTGGCATCAATAAAAATGAGGACTAAGACCGATGAAAATATATTTTTTAAGATAAGAGGGTTCAATTCTTTGTATGAGGATAAAAATTTAAGAATTAAATTAAAGTTATTTTTTTAATAATGTATTATACTATTAAATTAATGAGATTAACGATTTAATGATTAAAATAAGATAGTTCGACAACGTAAGTATTTAATCATTAGTTTTTACAAATCGATGACCAAAGTAAAATAGATTTTAAAAAAGGGATCATCAGTGTAGTTTTCCCATTATATCCTAAACCTAATTTTTTTCTCCTTGATTTTCTAATATTTTCATCTGTGTCCTTCCTTTCCTTTCTTCAACATTCGTCAAATCCCTAAAAGAGAAAAAAAACCAGCTCTGATTCTCGTCTCATCGACTCTTTCAGCGTTCAAGAATGTTAGGTTTCCGGTCACTTTCAGATGTCAGTCGTCGGGTCCTTCAAACCATGACGGTGCGTGTCATTCCTTAGTTCTCGTCATCCAATAATCTTTACAATTTTGAGAATTTTTTGATCCAGTGTATATGATTATATTTGTTTCTTTTAGTATTCCTCCATGTATAGATCTCATTAAATTAAGGAAACTTAGATGGGCGTTTTGATCTATTTTGTCATGTTGAACTCTACAAATGTTCTTTTGAATAAGATGTAAATTTGATTTTGGTATAACGATGTTGAGACTTTAATGTCTGTCAATGGTGTTATTGTTCAATTGAATTGGTGTTATTATTTTATACTATGATTATTTGCACTTTTGTGCTAAGTATATAGTTGATCTGAGATAAACTCGAGCCTACTGTTTTCTGCAGTTTAATGGAATAAGAGTGCAAGGCATTCGTGTGGGAAGTGCTGAAATTCCTGACCACAAGCGCATTGCAGTTTCTCTTCAGAGCATCTATGGGATTGGTCGTAACAGAGCTCGCCAAATCTTAAGCGAGCTCAATATAGATAACAAACTCACCAGGGAATTAACTGGAAGAGAACTCATGGCTCTTCGCGAGCATGTATCTGCCACATATATCATCGGAGAAGATTTGGTATGAACTTCTTTCCTTGCTCAAATTCCTTGCTCAAGAATAGTTACTTTCTCTAACATTATTCGTTTCCTTGGGTAATTTAGAGGCGATGTATCAATGCGGACATAGCCAGATTGAAAAGTCTTCAATGCTACAAAGGGATCAGGCATGAGGATAAATTGCCTTGCCGAGGACAGCGGACGAAAACCAATTCCCGGACTGCAAAGAAGGGACTAAATTCTGTTTCAGATAGACACAGAGCCCCTCATGCTTAGGTTTAGTTTATTGCCTTCAGCTGCAACTTCTTTTGAAAGTTTCCATTTTGGCCTGCTACCCATTCAGTAACTTTTCTTCTTCAATTAAATCCAGTTATGCATCTTTTTTTCCTATCTGCTTTTATCCTGATACTGAGATGTTTAGCATTTGAGCTTTTTTCCTGCCCCTAGCGTTCAACTTAACTAGCTCAGCCAACTTATGTTGGGTGGAATAATGAAGATACTTTGTCATTATTTATCGAATCTTTTGAACATGGATTTGATGCATATCGTCTGCATTTCTTCACTTCTTACCGGTATGTGTTTGTTGATCATTAATTTCTAGGGCTGCCAAGATGCTTACCATTTACATGAACATCATCAAAGTTGGTCTAAAACTGCAGTGGATAGTAAATTGGTTGCTTTAGTTTCTGAGGATCGGCACAGTAAGAGCTATAGGTGTCACATTGGCAGCTTTTAGTGCACGATGGTCCTTTATGCTGTTCCATTATGCTCGACATGCTTTTGCCAGTTGTTAGTATTTTAACGCCGTTCCATTACGCTCGACATGTTTTTGCCAGTCGTTGGTATTCTAACGATGTTCCATTATGTTTGTTTGGCATGCATGCGTTACTTAACCTCCTCGTTTTTATAAAGTCACCTTTATAACATACTTGTATTCCAAAGACCTGTTTATGCATGTGTTATTAGTATGATATATGTAGGCAAAAGGGTAACTTTTGTCCCTGTAATAGACTCAATTTATCACTTTTGCTCCTATTGTATTTTTGCATCAATTTAGCCCTTGAAGTTGATCAATTACTTCATTTTATACACTACTCTTAACTTAAAACCCTAAATTATAAACTTTAAACTATAACTTAGGGTTTATAATTTAAGGTTTTAAGTTGGGGGTAGAATATAAAATGACGCAGTTAAACAACTTTGAGGATTAAATTGATGCGAAAATATGATAAAGGTGCAAAGATGACAACAAGACTAGTTGTTGTTGGAACTGTGAATAAAATGCATGAAGTGGCTTCATTTGAGTAGAATATAAATGAATCTTGTACTTGGAAAGATAAGATTTTTGCATTCGAGACTATAATATTCTTAGTTTTTATATTTTGTTATATATAAAAATTATTTAAAATATAGGTTTAATATATTAATGATGTGTTAAATATATTTTTTTCTCAAAATTTAGATGGTATCACGAAAATAATTTTATAAACTTTTATAGAAATATTTTTAATTTAATATTATAAGTTTAGTTTCATTGAAAAAAATCATAAAGATAATTTGGTTAAGTTTATTTTTAGGTATTTTATATGCTCCGGTTAAACACAAACATTTTACATTCTTGTTGCATATAATATTCTCAATAATTCGTCACATAATGTTATATTTTTAAACTTTTTTGAGACGATTTTATATTTGGTGAACCAAACTCATTTTTAAAGTGTTTAAAGGCCTTTTTTTATATAAAAAAAAGTATTTTGAACTTTTTGTAACTAGTTAAACCGTCGAATTGAAAAATTGAATTGTTTTAATCTTTGAATTGAACAATTATATCATATATGGTTCTCTCACATGATATTCACAGATTCATTAAGGGAAAAATATGTAAAAATATCAATAATATTTTTGAACTACAAGAAACTTAAAAATTTTATTTTTAAATGTTATTAAAAAATATTTAAAATTAAATTTAAAAAAGTTCAAAAATATTGTAGAATTATAATACATTAGTAAATAGTATTAAATTGATTAAGAGATTTTGTTGTTATCTCTAATGATCACAGATTCGAACATTGCATATATAAAAAATATATATGTTTATTATTAAATGATTGAGAATCTTTAAACAAATATTATCTTGTATGTATCCCAGTTTTATAAAATAAATTTAATCCGTAAACACAAAAATTTAATAACAAAATAATTGTAACTAAGCTCATCATCAATTCACACTTCAATTATATTATCTTATTATCATTTTTATAATTTTTAATAATATTTATTCTCTTATAAATTTTAGTAATTTTTATTTTTTTAATATTGAAAATATAAACTTCAAAAGACATTCTAATTACCTATTTTTTTTTCTTCACGAAATAAATATTCTCACCTCTTCATGACATAGCACTTGCACGTGTTCTCTTTTCTCCTTTCCTTTGTGTCAAATGTTGTTTTCTTTCCCAGGCCCATGAATGCATTTCTTTGATAAAAATACAAATAATGTATTATATATATAATTTATATTATCTGATTTTTAATAAATATAAACATTATTCGCTTTACAACAAACGGTGTCGTTTTAAATAGTGTTACATTAACACAGCAGCAATCCAAAGAAGAGAACAACTTCATGAAACGCTGTCGTTTATTCGAATTAAAACAGACCTAGAAAAGGTGCCGTTGTGCATAAGGAGACGATCGCTCAAAAACACTAACCGGCAGCCATAGCAACAGCAATGGGGGAGGTAACTGAAGAAAAGGAAGGAAACGGCGGCGGTTGCGGCGATTGCGGAAGGAAAGAAGGGACAGATTTGTTGGGTCCTCCGACCTTCTATGAACTCCCCAACGGCAGGTTCAAGTGCGTCGAAACAGGGCACGAGATGGTTGTCAAAGACAAGGATTCCTATGCTCAGAGCAAACGTTGTCGTTTAGGCCTCATCGAGTTTGCGTTGTCTCATTCCAAACCCCCTCTCAACATGTTCAAACAAGACCCTCTTTCCCGGTGAAAAAAACCAAAAAAGATTTCAATGCTTTTCCTCTTTCTTTTATATCATTGATTGAATTTAAAGATTCTTTTTCTTAGTATAATCGAGGACCAATTCTTTTTTTTAGTTAGTTATTTATTCTAGCTGTCTATGTTTAATGAAGAAAAAGGGTAATCAAAGATTGAAGATTTCAGCTAAAATGAGCTATTTCATGAATTCCCAGAATAAGGTAAGTAAAAAAATTTCATGTATTGGGGTTAGAAGTTGGAAAATTTCCCAAACGTTTCGAGTAAAAAACATGGTTTTTGATGGATTACCAATGACAAGTTTCTATTTTGGGTTTCCAGATTAGAGAGGATTCTGTTTGGGTGAATCTAGATGTATAATGGAGCTGAGCTGAATTCAAGCTGGGAGTAGCTCGATCGAGTTCCACTTTTAAGGCTCAGACTTGATTCGAGATAAAAATCAAACTATCCGTGTTTAATCAATAATGCTCGTTTACCTAATAGCAAACATGAGCCTGTTTTTCATATTTATCTTGAAGCTTGATTATTTGTTGATTTTGTTCTCAAGCTTGTGTTCGAGTTTGAAATGAAATTTTTAACACTCGAGTTAAGCATTAAGATATTGGAATTTGGTTGTTGGCTGTTTGAGGTCGATCTCAACTCAACAATGGCCGAGTCAAATTCAAATTTCTTTAAAGCAAACCTAAGTTAAGAGGTTATGTGTTTCATTTATATCTCTAGGTGAATCATTTATCTTTTGTTTGTTTCATCATTTCATGTGTTTTCTGCCAATATGATTGATTCTGAGTTTCTATTTGATTGTTTATCAGCTCTGAGTTGATTTGTAAACTAACCGGTGATACCGTTAATAAGTCCGAGGAGCATATTTGGAAGCATATCAATGGGAAACGATTTCTCAATAAGTTCGGTTCAAATCTTGCTCTCAGATTTATTAGATTAAGTGGCTTATTGTGTTAATTCTTGGTAAATTCTTGTGAACAGAGCAAAAGGAAACGGAGGAGTTAACGGGTGAAACCATGGCCGAGGAAGGCGAGAAGAAGCCGAAGAAAGTAAAAAAGAAGAAGAAAAAGGAAAAGGTAGTTGAAGAAATTATCTCTGAAGTTGGGGATTCAGCTCAAAATGAAAGTGATTCCGAAAAACTTGAGTTCTGGATTCCCCTTGTAGGCGACCGTTGGGGCTTTGATGACGGAGGGGATCGATGGGGTTCTGGTTCAGAGTCGGACCAAGGTGATGATGAAAACGAACCAGGTGCGATTGGCCTTCGTGTTGAGCAGATACTGTTTAAACTTTTTTCTACACTTAATAGTTTATATTGAAAAAAATTTAAAGTTTAGGTATTAAAACAGATCAAAATTGTGTATTAAATGCATAGTTTACTCTAAAATTAATCATTTTGAGCTTATCTAAAAAACAATAAAAACTTAAAAAAACCTACGTTTACCTTTTGCTCGAAACGAAAATAACAAATGCTGGTTTGGGCAAAATTGAAGCCATGAAACTCGGTCAAGTGTAAAATTGAAGCAAAGTGTTGCATTTCTAAGCCGCTGATAATCCCCTCCACACTCTTATATATATAAATCACTGATTTAATCCCAAAAAATATCAGATCGCCACTGAAATAATTCATAAGCACTAAATTTCAAGTTTTTTTTTTATCATTTTTATGTTTTAGAGACGGTGCTGCATTTCATTTTCTTTTGAATAAGATTCCCAGAAAAAGAGAAGAAATTTAAAGAATCAATCGTCGGAAACTGATAAAGAAATAACAATGGCAGGTCAAGTTCTCGTCCTTGCCCTCGTTTTCGTGGCGGTTGTCTCGGCGTTCGCCGGGAATTCATCGCTGTCGCCGTCCCCTCGGGGTTCATCTTCATCTAAAGGTGGCTCCTCACCACCTTCGAAGTCACCTTCTGCCTCTCCTCCTTCCCCCAAGAAGTCATCTGCCTCCTCCCCAACCCCCTCCTCCGGCGGCCCATCCCCTCCTTCACCACCATCACCAACAAAATCCTCCGACTCGCCCAAGTCATCCGCCGGCGACTCTAAATCTTCTCCTCCCTCTCCAAGCCCTTCCGGCTCCTCCGGAAAGCGCAGCACCAGCTCCCCCGCCCCAACCACCAGCGATGCTAGTGACTCCTCTACTCCACCACCCAAGGCCTCGAAGTCGAAATCCCCTCCACCAGCTGCCGAGGAACATAGCTACGATAGCCCAACACCCAGCTCCGATGCCAGCGCACCAGCACCGTCCAGTGCCGCTACTCTCAAGGCGTCTTCCATCGTCGGTGGTGTGGCCGCTATCGCTGGATTCTTCCTCTTTTAAGCTTTGGCATGCAGTTTACGTGGAGGGCTTTAAGGTTTTGCATGGAATCCATGCAACCAGGCGTAAAATAAACGCTTTTTTTTAGTAATGTAATAATTTTAGTTTTTATTTTCGTTGTTTGAATAATTGTAGTGTGCTTCATTTTCATCGTCTTTAATATACTAATAACCTTTTAGGTTTCACTTTTTTTTCTTTGCCTATATATAATTTATAGTTAATCATATGATTCATTTAAAAAAAAATAATTTTTTTTATATTTTTAAATATATAAATTACATCACATGTTACTGAACTTTACATAATATATAATTTATATCAATTGGATTTTTAATTTTTCTAATTATTTGATAAAAAAAGGCTTTCAAATTTAACTTTTAATATTTTTATTAAACGAAATAATTTTTCTAATTATTCGAGTTGCATTTTTCAACTCGATTTGAATTTGAAATTTTTTTGAGTCGAGTTTTTTCGAATCAAGTCGAGTTGAAAATTTCTGTTTTGGAGTCGAGTCGAATTTTGCTCACCCTTAGGGACAATAAAAAATTATAAAATTGAAATAAGCATTTCCTTAGGATAACTTACAGCTAATAGTTTGTATTATCGTGTTCCAGAAAAAGTTGGATCCAGCTCCAGAAGAAAAAAAAAATGCATGCACAGTGAAGATATTCATTTTTTTTCATTTTCATTTTATTTATATTATTATTATTATTATTATTATTATAATTATAATTATAATTATTATTATTATTAATATATTATTTAATATTACAAGCCCAAATGGAAGCCCAATTACAAACAGTGGCCCAGATCCAAAATCCTACAGTAAACCCTAAACCTAATTTAGGGTTTGTATCATCCAGTTGCCGCCGCTCAAGCTTCAGCCGTTGGATCTGGTTTGATCCAACGGTCCACAATTTGTCAGAGGAAACCCTAGGGTATCAATACCCTAGGGACACGTCCCAGCGCCGCCGTAGATTCCAGAAGACCACGCGGCGCTGCTTCAGTCTCGCCGCCACTCCAGCCGCACACGTCTTTCCCAAATGGCGAGTCACCACTGGAAGTCCGGTGACTCACCGAAGAACCCCTTTCGGACCGGTCTGAGACGAACACCGGTGATGGCTATAAAGCCATCACCCCATCTGCGAGCAAAAAAAGGAGAACAACAGAGAGAGATACAGAGAAATAAGATACTAAAAAAATATACCAACGATATCAACAACAACTCAGCAAAGAAACAGAAAAGAAAGAAAAGAAAAAGAAAGAAGAGAAACTTACTGTCATCGGAGAACCCCAACCGTCGCCGGATACAACAAAAACCGAAGGTACTTTTGTAGATTTGCTCCGATTAGGAGCTTTTTAAGGAAAAAGAGCACCGGAAACGCCCTTAGGACGTTCCGATCTATTTAACGGTGTAAAAATAAAATTTTCCGGCCACCGGATGCGGTGGCCGACGGTGACAGTCACGGCGGCACACGGTTGCCGTCCGGTGACCGGCTTCCCTCCGATGAGGGAAGCTAGAGAGAGGGCAGAGAGAAATTTGTTCTCTCTCTGTTAGAGAGAGAACAGAAATAAGGAAATGAGAAGCTGGCCCGTAGGGCCAGCCGGTTTAGGTTATAAATACCCTCTCCAGAACGACGTCGTTTTGGGGAGGGTATTTCTGTAATTTCACAAAGGGTAAACCCCGTCCGAAGCCATTCCAACTTGTAATTTTTACATTCTGGTCACTAAATCGAGTTTATAATACTTTTAATTCAGATCTTTAATTTTAATTTCATTTATTTTAGTCCTTTATATTAAAATAATATATTTAGGATAAATAACAGATTTAATCCCTTAATTTTAATAAATAATATTTTAATCCATAGTTTATATTTTTAATCTTATATTCGAATTTTAAATAATTTTATTTTAGTCACTAAATAATTATTAAATAAGAAAATAGCATGTTTAATCCCTGTAATTTTGATTAATTATGAATTAGGTTTTTAATTTTAATTTTACTATAATTTAGTCATTTATTTTAAATGTTTTCATTTATTTTACTGCTTTTAAATATATCGTTCTAGTTGTATTTTTATTGTTTTAATTTTACTTGTTTATATTTTTAAATATTTTTATGTATTCATAAATATATATATAATAAATAATAATTAATTTTTTTAAATAAATTATTTTAATATTTATTTTTCAATATCGAAGAAAAGGACAGTCTTAATACAACTGGATGTCCTATTCTGGTATTTTAAAATTTAATAATTAATTTTTTAAAATATTATTTAATTTAAATTAATATTTATCAATATCAAAGAAAAGAGCTGTCTTAAGGCACCTAGAAGTCCTTTTATGATATTTTAAATATTTTTTATAATTTTGAAATAATAGGATTATAAATTAAATATATTTTGAATTTTTAATATTTTTAATAATAGAGACAATTTATAATTAAAAAGTACCAATTTTGGGCGTTGTAGGGTGCTAATCCTTCCCTAAACGTAACCGACCACAAATCCCTCTTTATTATTAAAAAAACGAATTTTTGGTTATAAACGCAGATCAGTTCATTTTTTAATTGATGTTTTCTCAAAACTCTTTTAGAAAATAATTTTTAGGTATTCAACCTACCTGACCCAAAAGGTCGATGGCGACTCCCAAATTATTTTCAAAACCATTTATTCACATCAATTTTCCCGCCAAATTTAAAATTTCGTGCCCGGACGAAAACCGGTTACGACACACAGGTTTAATATAACCAAACTAAATTTTAAAGGTTAAGGTTTTATCATGTTAAAAGGGCCAAAGCACAGCCTCACATTCTCTAATTAAACCAGAAGAATGACGCAATTGGAATTAAATTGAATTATAGAGTAATTCATCAATATTCTTATTTTAAAGTAACCCTATTTCGCATTTTCCTAACTGAGCTAAAACAATGAGGCAATCGCATTTAAGAACCCACAATAATCAATAAATACACCAGAAAATAACAATTAAAGATAGCAAAGAATTACAGGATTTGGCGAGCTTGAAGCAATTGGCAGCTTTATCAAAGAGCTCGGCGGCGTCTTCATGTTTGGAGCCAAACAAACCCCAGCCGCTTAGCTTTTTCTCTCTCGAATTCTTCTCCTCTCGCCAGTTGATCTCCCATTCTCTTTTTTCTTTTTCCCGTTCGTTTCTGTGAAAAGAAATGAACTAAAAAGATGATGACTCTTAAGATCTAAGCTAACAAAATAAAAGGGATGTTTGTTGATATCGACTTATTTTTCTTTTTAAGTTTTCTAAATGTTATTTTTTATAAAAGGAAAACTACGGAAGGGGTCAATTTCGTTTGATTTTTATTAATGTTTCTTCACTTAATTCAGACATTCGTTTCATTTTAATTAAGATATGATCACTAAAGGTTAACGGCCATTAAACCTTTAACAGTTTGCTAAAGTGGCATGGTAAATATATAAAATTAAAATTACATCATTTCTGGGTAGATAATACGCAGATTAAGTTTTGGTTACTTTTCTTTCATATTTGTACACTTTTAGTCACTTACAGTATCGTTGTATTAAGTTGTGGTTACTTACGTTATCGTTTTATTTTGTTCAATTAGAAATGAGTTACTTGGAGGCTGACGCGATGGTGGTGATGTGACAGGTCGTGCAGGCCGCAAGGGTTAATTGTGATTTATAAAGATCTAGAATCGGAAAGTTGCTTGTTCTTGAGCAAAAATAGAGATTCAACATTGAAGATCGTGAATTTTGTCTTGAGTTTAGTGGATGAATTCACGAATCCAATTATCGGATTGTTTTATCTATTGATTATACGTCACCAAAAGTGCTTTGTCAAGGGAAAATCACCACGAAGAGTGATATTCAGTTATCAAATTATTTGGATTCATTTATTTGTTTTCTTGTTCTTTGTTGGGTTTGACATTATGCAATCTAAATCTTTGAAAATTGAATTTTAGTTTGTATAACTGAGATAACCCGACTTCATTTTATCTCTAGATGTCTGCCCTATCATTTTTTCCCTAAACTTCAAAGAAGGCAAATGAGTTATTGTGATCTCTGAAGAAAAAACAGGGAGGGGATGGATAATGATGGGGTTGGGAAGAAAATCTATTAAAAATGGATAAATTGAAATGTTATGTCTAAACTAATTTGAATTTACAAAAAGACTCATAATCATTATTTTGGTTTTAAAGTATAGGAGTAAAAATAAAAATTAAACCATTTTACTACCGAGTCATGTCATCAAACTAACGATATTCAACTCAAGTGACCAAAACTTCATAAAACGACAATGTAAATGATTAAAACTTAATAAAACGATAACGTAAGTGACCAAAAGTGTACAAATAGAAAAGAAAAATGACCAAAACTTAATTCATATATTATTTGCATGAAAATAATATAATATTAATTAGGCATGTTTTACCAAAGATATTTCGAGTTTTTGAGAGGAGATTTTGGAGGCATTTGAGAATGGACTTTGGACAGACTGTCGATGCAAGAGAGCTGACATTGTTGCTAATGAAACCAAAGGTCCAAGTCAGTTTTTTCATGTAGTTTTACATGTAAGAATTCAATCAGAAACAAAGAAAAAGTATAGAACCAAAGGAGTTTGGATTTTTTTTAAAGAATAACGTTTTGGAAACGGATTATCTTAGCAAAAACTTGACTACAATTGTCATTAAATAAAAGCTAGAATGGTAAACGCCACCAGTACTTAAGATCAATTATCAAAGGCATGTGCTATGTTAATATAAAAAAGGGGAAAATAAAACACTGGGAGTAGGTGCTTGTTACATTGGATCAACTATCTTGGACATCTCGTATCAAAATAGAACTCAGAGATCACTGCTACTATCGTGTCAATATCTTGGAGCTGCAAATAAAATAAAAATCCCAAAATTATGTAACATATGACTGAAGAAAATATTAATGAAAACAGTATCATGTACCCTACCTCCACCAATGGTTGCTTCGGGAAGTCGTTCTATTGAATACTTGTGCTGAGTGATATACATGATCGGAACACCAGGAACCTTACGAATCCTTCGCTTCAAGTCCCGATCACATGTAGCAACAATAAAGCATTTGTGCTGTTTTCAATGAAACATTTAGTTAATAAAAAATAACAATATGCAGAATGAATAAACTTCAGGTTTAAAGAAAATAGTTATAAATTCAAAATAACAAAATACAAGTCTTATTAACATAATTATGTTTCCAAACCTTTATTGAAAAAAATGAGTGAATGAAAAACATGAAAAAGCCCTATGTTTAGCCAGACAAACTCCAGAAATACAACTATAAACGGTAAGTATGCAGAGCAGACTTGAAAGTTATGCCATAAACAAGACCAAATGAATAGATACCAGAGGTCCCTAGATGCTATGGCAAACCATCATTACTAATCAATCTTATCGCTAAAGTTATCTTGAAGTTAGACTATCAATTGCACAAGATACAAAGTATGGGTAGATACTTTGAGGACATCAACGCAAGTGCACAAGTTTACATCCTAAAAAGTCCATAGCCACAAAGTAAGATAGAGATGCTTCAGATCATTCTTTTTCTAAAATTGTTAAAAGCAGTCACTCTTGATTTGTTCTAACTATCCATGATGCAAAACTGCAGTGCACACATTAAATAGTGTGTTTATAGGGGGAAACATCAATTATACATTTCACGGAAACATATCAAACAAATCTAATTATTTTTTGGATAGAAAATCCCCATGATGAGAATGGAATGATCCTAGCACATAATTGTACACAAGATACGAAATCCTTGCCTGTGTAACTCTCTCAACAATACAGTCGTCGGCATAAGTTCCTTTATGAATACACGGCAATCTTTCAAAACGAGGATCCTTAGCAATCCTGAAAAATAGAACATGTATTCAATAACACAGAGATAGTCATTGACATTATCTGAATAAAATTAAATATTCGATAACAGAAGCTGAGAAATAACTGTAAAAAAGTTGCATATTGCAGTAGAAAATAATGAATCAAGGATCCAAATATTAGGGCCAAATTTAAGGGTGTGTGCTAATATTTATATGCATTTAGTCAGATAAACCTACAAAGTGCAAAGGGATATTGCAGAATAAAGGAAAAGAGGCTTTACCTCAGAGCCACCCGGTATTTCGTGCCCAATTTTTCAAGCTCAGCCATCACACAATCTGTGATGCAAGGAGTACCTTCAGATTCAAAGAATATACAACTTCAGCAATAAACAAGAATCAATATTGTAATTTGTAAAAAGGACAGAATCAGCAATAAAGAAAAATAGAACATGCATTCAAAGTAATGTTCAAAAGAAAAATCAACTCCATAACTCACATTTTGCATATAAGCAGTCCATCATTCCCTTCTCCAGATCTAACTACCAAAGGGAAAAAAATTAAAAGATGTTAAGAACAATGACAACACAAGCAATCATGCGTAAAAAACATTACAATTTCTTTTTTACTTTGCAAGAGGATTATAAGCGTTATGTCAAATATCTAAGTTTTCCATTATCATATCTAACTAAACAGTACAGTAAATTCAAGAGGACAACAACTAGAACACTTACTTTGTTCTGAATGGAGAAATTGATGAAGTTGGTGTCAACCAAAACGCGATAAGGCGGTCCCAAGGAGGTATTGTGTGTAAAGAAAAGGGCAGAAGAAACATTCGGCCTGATTCAAATATCAATTAACAAAATTGGAAAGGAATCAATAAAATATTAAATTTTTAAACCAAATCATAACAAAAAAGGTTGGAGAAGAATTAGAGACAGCATAAACAACATAAGTAAAGCTTACACGTTTCTTGGGAGCTTTTCCTTGGTCATGTCTTTCTTGTTAGGGTTCAAGACTTGCTCCTTGTAGCTGAAATTTAACATAAGCAAGAGTTGATCCTCATGAGTTACAACATTTATTAACGCAAAATAGAGGGTAAAGGCAATAAAAGAGGATAAAAAAACTTGCTTTTTAATAGCTTTTTGAGTGACCATCTTCTTCATGCGAGCAACTTTTGGGCCCTTTTTTGATCTTCCCATTGCTGCGAAAGGCTTGCAACTTTAGGGACCCACGACGAAGGGGGGGTTCGGGTCACGACGAGGGAGATACGGTCAACTTACCGGTGACCAACTAATGACAGGCGACGAAGAGGTCACGAGCATCGGCGAAGAAAGAAACAAAGGAAGAGGGAAAGAAAAAAGCACGAATGCGGCTGGGAAAAGAAATAAAAGGCTAGGGTTTTTTTTAAGGTTTTAATATACAAAAAGGTGTTCAATTTATCTTAATTCTTTTAATTTAATACTTAATATTTATTTCGTATCAGTTTAATATTTAATATTTTATTTTTTACGATTCAAAATAATCTAATCGTGACGTGTAGTTTACAAAACTTCATCAATGGAGGTTCTGGCTATGCCGCCGCCTCTATCACCACCCGTCATCCTAACCCAAGACGAGTTGAAGGAGAACGCCACCTACAAAGCCGTCGATTTCCGATAAATTTCCATATGTACTACACAGTTTTCTAATTCTTTAAAGATTCCATCCATAAATTTCCGATATTCCCCTGGTGCATTTCTTAAACCAAAGGGTAATATATTCCATTCATAAAATCCATCGGGAACTGTAAATGCTGTTAATTTTTTAGATTCTTCAGTTAACTTAATACGGTGAAATCCTGGTTTACAATCAAATTTACTAAACCATCTATATCATGAGATTTTTCCTAATTCTAATTCTTTCTTGGGTATTGGATAATTTAATATTTCTATATTATCATTTAATTTAGTATAATCTATTACCATTCTACTTCTACCTCTTGTTTGTTCACTGTGTTTTACCACAATGAATGCTGGGCTACTATGTTTACTGCTACTTTCTCTAAAGAATCCTCCTCCAAGGAGTTGCTTAATATGTTTACTGCTACGATCGGTCAATGTAATTGTCTCGTATGATTAAATAGTGTTGGATCAAATCAATTCAATGGATCACATCAATATTTGTTATCAATCTATAATGTTAATGATCAAATCATCATTTTTGAAACATAATGGGGAAAGAGAAATTTACTCAAACATCAGTGAGTATTTATGTAATTTACCCTAGCATTAAAAGAATAAACCAGAAACAAGTTTAAAGAGGCGGAGCAGAAAAAAGGAGCTTTTATTTTATACGAAAGAAATCCACCAAGAGGAAATCTGAAAACCTCCATTTTTCTGCTGATGATCGTGGATGGTTCGTCGCCATTGCCTTTGAAGAGGAGGAGGTTCACTAGCATTGATTCCATGGAGGCTGAATCGGCCAAGGTCTTTCCGTTTTCTTAAAACGAGTTTATTTTCTGCAGTTCAAATCTTGTTTTTAATGATGTTTCGATCTTGTTTTTTCTCTGATAATCGAATCATGTGATGGGTCTAATTCTTTTGGTTGTTTATTCAATTGGGTTTGTTTTGTCTCTTGATTTTAGATGCTTCAGAACAGTGAAAGAAAGATTTAACACTATGAAAAAATGAGAAAAATTAGCTTCATTCTGATGCGATTTTATTGGCGTGGATTAATTAATACTCACAATTTTACTAGTTTGAACTCAAGTCCTCTAACATAACAATTTATTGAAATTATATCCATTGTGATTAAATTAATCTTCATTTTTGTTTCTTTTGCCATCTTTTTAGTAGTTTGTTTAGTTTATGGTGCTGAGATCCGAAACGAGAAGTTGGCGCATGAGAAGTCGGTGATGTCTAGTAGCATCGGTTATGGTTTTTAGGTGGAAGTGCTCTGAAAAAGTTACACAAGTTATTAGAATTTAGATAAAACTAATTTAAAGCCACTGTTCAATTCTTCAAATGAAGTAAGGTTGTTTTAAAGGTACCAGTGGTCATGGAGTTGTGGAATCTTGTTCTTCTGATTGGGACCCACCTTCATGTCGTGCTGCCTTTGGTGTTTGTAGAAGAGATATGTAGATATCGGGAAAGAATTCAACTGTATTCTTTTTTATCTTCATACTCCCGGTATTAAGGAGAGATTTAATTATGAGTGTACGACCTCTGAACGGGTTTTTATACTAATCATATATAGTTCTCATAGGTGCCAAAGACATTGCTTTTGGTATTCGATGACAAAATCATCATGGTATGTTTTGAGGCTCCTTCAACTTTTATGGTATGCAGACTAATGCTATTTAACTATTTGACTGGTTTTAGGCTAAGCTTGCTTTTGCAAAAGAGAAGTTTGGACGAGAAATCCATGTTTTTGAAACTGCAAGTCTGTTGTCGATACAAAATGGTGTGCCCGACACTGGTATGACCTACCAAAACATGTTTTGGGACTTCTGACTTACCTATCAACTAGAAATGCCAGGTTATTTTTGTAAATTGATAAAATTTTATGTTATATATTTTCTGGGCAGAGGTTCCGGATGACTTCTATGAGTTCACTGCAGAAGATTATTATCGACTAATGGCAACTAAAAAAGAAGGTACTTTGTTGATGAGCTTCAACTCATAGTCAGTTTTATTCTCTCAGTTCAGTTCGCAAATTTTTACTGGTTGAGTTTCAAATTTGTTGTGTCAAAGTAACCAATGATTGCTCTGCCTTGAGAAGGACATGTACGGGCACAATTTTGTGTGCAAGGTTTCCAATTTATCAGAAAAAGTCATGGTAACCTGGTTTTTTCATAAAGGATTTAGAAATATATTTACACACTTATAAGTGGATATGATTATGAACAGATAAGTTCTTGAAGACACGAAAAATCCGAGAAGCAGAAGAGGCAGCTCGAAGATCAAGGATAACACAGGTAATTGCTACTCCTTTTGGGAATCTTTTCGTTGTGTATGTTAAGAATGTTTGGATACCAATGATGAGAGAACAATATCAAGGATGAGTAGTGGTTTTTGTTTTGAAAGATTAGTGAATCTTAGAGTAGTTTGGTGTAGTTTTTTTTTTCTTCTTCTTTTTGATAATTAGTTTTACTTTTCACTAAGTTTTTATGTTCACTATCAGGCTGTCATAAGGGTTCGCTTTCCCGATAACCACACATTAGAGGTTACATTTCATCCATCTGAGACAATGCAGAGCTTGGTTGACCTTATCACTAAAGTGATTGCTCGACCAGATTTGCCATTCTATTTATGTAAGCATATTTCAGAATGACATTTTTGGTCACTTATGTACTGGATGTTGGTTGTGAAACCTATGCCCTGGATGTCTAATATGTAATACTGCAGATACTACACCTCCTAAGAAGCAAATTAAGGACATGACGCAGGACTTTTTCTCTGCTGGCTTCATTCCTGGAGCAATTGTGTATTTTTCATATGATCTGCCAAAAGGTTCGTGCATGCTTTCACATGTACACGGTGTTTAATCCTTCAGTCTTGTCTCATCATTGGTTATGAACCTTATTCACATTTCTAACCTATGTTACTCTGATTTTTCTTTAAGTATACTCATGTATGACCCTTGTATAGATCTGGGTATGGCAATATGACCCTTCAAATGCATGAAAATGAAAAATTGAACATATACATGTCAGACTCATTTTATACAACACCAACCTTTCGTCCAAGCAACATAGCTTATGACTGTGCCACTGCATAGTTTTACCAACATATACTTCTTTATGTTGTCATTACCATTTATAGCATCCAATTTTGCTATTTTTTTATCTGTTATTGCATTGGCTTAATCTCATTTTACTGGTAGGGCCGGTTGTCATCTAATGTTTGTCTAAATACTTACTAGTCATGTTAAATACAACTCTGTAGAATTCCCCCGAGAAGTTTTACTGAATTACATAGTTTTTAGTTTTGAATGTATTCTGTGCTCAACATTTTACCCTCCTATTTTATAAGTTCGGGGTTCAATGACGCCTTGTTAATTTCTCTTTAAAATGTTTAGGGGGCGATTTTGTAGCTGCAAATTCAGGCCCCTTCCTTCAGGAGGAGATCATGTCTTTGAAAGGTTTGGAAGTCATTGCCAAAGCTGAGCAGCCAGAGTCAGTTCAATCTACCCCGGAGCCTTCTGCTGCCAGTGCAATGCCTTCCCCAGTTGTGCAAGAAAGCAAGCCTACCGGGAAAAAACCTGCCAAGCCAAAGTGGTTCAAAATGTGAGTTTGACTACTGCAAAAGTGAGCTTTTATTCCTTTTTAATCACTTTTTGTCCTTTTTTCGATTTTTGTGATTCCCCTACCTATCTACATACTGATGCTGAAAGCTTTACTTCTGCAGGTGAGCTTTGATTTGTGATCTCAACAGTCTTAGATTTCGAGAAGCAGTTAACTGTATTTCCCAATCAAAGTATAGATATATTAAATGGTGACTAACAGGTGATTCTCTATGTGAAGGATGTTAAAGATGTGAATATTTTACTCTGTTAAGCTTTCTTCATTTTTACTGTTTCATAATTGCTTCCTTCTATTCATTATTTTGAGAACATCGAACTCACATAAAACACATGCCAAAACCAAAGTCCAGGTATCCAGACTTTGCTAAAATTATTTCTAAGAGAGTCATGTCCCGACTTCACGAGAAAGCTGCACTCAAAATTCAACAATAGTTTTGGAGTTGGTTTAGTTACTAGTAGTTACCACCTTCATGTTTGGGATGGTCTTATAACCTTAGGTGAATAGAAATAATGTGAAGGGCACCAATGACCCACCAAAATCTCATTTCACTTTTAGGCTTTGGTGTGTGGAATTCAATTTTTATCTCTGAACTAAAAAAAATGCAACCATTTAATATATCAAGAACCTATGTTACTCGGACTTGGTGTTGAGTGTCAAACATTTCTGTGTTTAATACAAGTATGTTTAGGTTTTGTCAAAAATTTCAATATGTTTGGAGGGTCTTTAGAGCAGCATATTCTCATTAACCATATCTGGTTGTATAATCAACGTGGGTTTCAGATAGGAGTGCTTTTAAGAAAAAAATGAAAAATTCAGTAAGAAGATAGGGCTGCTTAAGAAGAGGCTCAGTATACAATTCTTGTAGAAGACATTGTGGACCTTGTAAGTTTTACTCCGTTTATGTAGTAATTTTTAAAAATGACGGTGAATTCTAACTCAAATTTTAGTATATAGAACACTATCATTTTCAAGGCACAACCCCATTGTCAGAAAAGAAAATGCAGATTGGTTTTGTTATTGGTGAACCCTGGGACGTTGAATGAGCACATCTTGATTTATGAGGTCTTTAATCATATGGAAACACAAGGTCTTTCACGTGAGAATAGATGGAACGATCATCTTGAAAGAGACAAAAGTCTCCTCAGCCGTAGTTTTGGGCAGAGAAACGCAGGGGTAACAATACATTGGCCTGTGTTCCTGTGTGTGAGAGAGAGTCATAAGGAGAAGGTAAGAGTCAATACGGAGATTATGTAGGTTAAGATCTGCTTCTCTGTCATGGTTGGGGTATTTATAGTGATCCTAGTTGGTAGCGTCAGGCATAAGGTTATTATGGTTATTCGTAGGCCAGCAGAGTAGGTAAATCTAATCATCATATCTTAAATTTCGTTTCGATAAATCACATAGACCTGTCAGAGGTGTTATCTTATATACTGTTGTAGTTGGTTCGGAGGTTATGAGTCTCCCTAGTCTGGAGACTGATAAGTCTAGGGGTTTTTCCGAAGGTCTTCATTGGCAGAGAGTTAGTATGGCACTATATATGATTATATGTACAGAAAACATTTTTCGTATCGGATGTGTGATTAAGGTGATGTTTGATCCCGCTTAGATGTTTCATCACCGGCCTCCATTTTGTTAACGAATGGAACATCGTTTATACTCCACTAGTTAGAGTACGACTAGCCTAAGACCGGTAAACCTTAAACACTCCACTTGTTAGAATCCGAGAAGTTCGGGTAGTACTGGTTAACCATTATTCTAAAGAGATGTCAATATACTTTTAAAATAAGTTGGTTTAGAGGTTTGATTATTGTGAAAATCTGCATTATGTTTCTTTATTAATTGTCCAAATGTGGGGGTAAAAAGTTTAGGGTAAACTATATACATGATCACTTTAACTATAAGATTATTTCAATTTAATCATCAACTTTCAATTTTGTCGATGAGGTCACTTAATTATTTAAACGTTATTTCGTTATCGTGATATCTACAATAATTGCACTATCATCCGCAATGATCACAATCAAGATAAATGCAATGCACCTAAAAATGCTACCGCAACTGTGAATGCTAGATGATAAATTTCTACTATGAAGCTAAAGTGACAGTGGATGCACATGCATAACCCAAAGTTTTACCGAACAAGACTATTTTTATCCAGTAATACGCATATAAAACCCAAAGCTTGATCACACAACTTGTTATTTATGTACATAACAATCATTTACATGTAAGTCATAGAACCGCAATAAGTTGTAAGACCAGTTCTAGCACCACCAGGAGCAATCTGAGTCAAGTAAAATCTCAAGAATTCTTCGTAGTCAAAGGGTTTAAAGAGAATAGGATTTTTATCATTCACCAGGTCTTCAGGAGCCTTCATTCGGAATCCTCCTCTCGATGCTGCAAATAATCCCGCACACTACCTTGCTTTGTTTCCCTTTACCACCACACGATGATAATTTGCAGATAATCTATCATTTAACCATATCTATAACTAGGTACGAACGTAAGATTTTATTCCAAGGAACTTATAAATTTTAATAGGGGAGAAACTTATAAAATTCTATTCGACTTACGTAGAGGGACTCTCCAACCAATACTATAAAAGATTTGGGCGATGGTTGTACATTGATCCAATCTCCATTTTTGTTTTGAATCTGCAATCCATCAACTTCATTTTGATACAAGAGGGTCACCGTGTTCATGTCGTTGTGAGCTAATGCACCCACGGTTGGCTCGTTGGTTTGGGGCGCATTATATTTCATGAGCTTTAGAAGGTAATTTGTGGAGTCAATTTGTTCATCTAGGTACTTCTCCACACCGAAAATTTCAAATATCATCCTCCTGATTGTCTTCTCTAATCTTGATGCTATCTCTGTGAAGGACACCAGAGTTTTACTGCCAAATGAACACCAATTAATTAGTGTGACTAAGCAAACTATTCTATTTGAAATAAATGGGTAAACTACGCATTTAATACCCCAACTATCATTTTTATTCTGTTTTGGTCACCCAACTATTTTTGTTTCAAAATAATACCTAGCGTTATATTTTGGTTACATTTTGGTCACCCACCCTTAAAAAATTAAGGATAAATTATGCATTTAGTACCTAAACTCAGTTTTGGTCATTCTAGTACCTAAACTTTCAATTTTTTCAAAATCATACCTAAAGTTTAGCTTTTGTTTCATTTTAGCATCACACAAATTAAAAACATAACACGTTTAGTACTTAAACTATCATTTTGGTCTGTTTTAATACCTAAACTTTCAATTTGTTTCAAAACTTAATGTCAAATTTTTAACAGGGTACTAAAATGAAACAAAAACTAAATTTTAGATATTATTTTTATAAAATTGATAGTTTATGTATTAAAACGGATCAAAATTGATTGTTTAGGTACTCAATGAGTAGTTTACCCAAAAATTAATGGTGATGTTGACGTGTCATCATAAGGTAATGTCATGTCATCATTAAATTTTTAATGGCCGATTGATATGAACTTGAACCCGAGATTGACTTGGTAAATAACTGGTATTACCCGACCTGTTTTCAATATGACATGTTATGAACCTGACATGTTTTCAACCTGATCTGTAAATGATCTGACTTGTTATTGACATGATATGATATTTATCTAACTTGATATTTACCTAACTTATATATTACCATTGATGAAATTATAAGATTTTAATAAAATTGAGTTTATAATAAATCATACTAACCAATATGATTAATTTTTAAATGTTATAATAAAATCTTAATTATGATAATTAAATTAATAAATATTTATTGTATTAATTATGATTCTTATATTACAATTCGTATGTTATAAATCTTCAATATAATCATTAATTTTATTTTATCAAGTAATTTATGTATTAAACATTATTAATTAAATTAATTATAATGATTATAGAATAATTTATTGGCATTGAACATGGTTAATAAAATTATTTTAAATGTAAATTATATAATTTAATTTATGTAAAGAAAAAACAAAGCAAAGGTGGTGGCACTAACTGATCTCATGATTGAATCCCTTAGAAAAGCATTTTAAACCCTTGCTTTTTTATTTTGTACAACATGATTTTTCAAGCATAAAAGTGCATTTATTATATTATTCATTTTAATTAAAAACTATCCCGCAACAATGTAATCTTTGTCCGTAAATTAAGCCAAATCTTTCCGGGTGTTTGGTTAAAGGTCGTGGGAATCTCACATTCTCATGTTTGGTTTAAGGATTGTGGGATTCCCATAAGATGGGAATCTCACGTTCCCATGTTTGGTTGGTCGGGAATCTCATTCCCGATAATGTTTTATTACCAATAGTAGATTTTTTGGGGTATATTACCGGGAATGTCATTACCTCCCTTTCTTTAGGTATTGTAACATTATCGGCGTTTTGGACTAAAATGCCTTTAAATTTTTATTTTTTTTCAAAAATATCCTTCTTCTGTCATTGAATAATAAAAATTCTACGAAGGTTAAATTACAAATTTATCCTTAAATTATTTTAGATTTACAAAAAAAAATCTATAATTAAAATTTTATATGAAGTTCAGGGGTTAAAATTTTTTTACCCTTTCATTAAACCTTTTTTATATTTTTAATTTTGTAAAAAAATTATATAAATATTATGAATTTAATTTTTTTTTAAAAATATATAAATATTTTACAATTTGTAATATTATACAAATATATAATAATGACAATTTGGTCAAATATACATTCTAATAATCTTTTATTCCTTTAACCAAACACGGTAATCTTACATTCCTGATAAATCAACCAAACACAAAATACAACACTCCCAGTAATCCTATTCCCTGATAATCTTTTATTCTCACTGATAATCTTATATTCCGTAAACCAAACGCACCCGTAAAGTACAAATATTTCCCTAGAAAAAGGCCCCCAAAAAGAGTGCGCGGCACATGCATTACTCGAGTGTTTTAACCTAAACTTTAGTCATCAAATTTTCCTCCCATGGAGTCGAGTTCACACCCAAAAGACCACCAGTCTTTAAAAATCCGACTTTGATTTGAGATAAAGATTGAAATTGAATAACATCAGTATAAAAGATACAAATTTAATTAGTTGTGTCGGTATGGTGTGTACACTCCATAATTAAAAAATATATATAAACATATTTTACCCTATAATCGTTGAAGACTATAAGAAAAATAAATACTTGAATGAGATACTTGAATTTGTCTTGCTGGTTAACTGGAGTTGTTCAAGCTTGAGTTAAACTCGGAAATTACAGATGACTCACTACAAGGACGCCATGTTGTATGAGTACCGGCTACTTCGTGTTTCCGGCACCACCGTTCCCCTCAACACGTCCCTCTGGGATTCTTTGCATGCTAAGGATATATCCATCTTTTGTTTCCGCCTGCAACAACTATCAATTTTAACCTAAAAACAACACCGAAAAAAAGAAACTATGTGTATCAATGTCGATAAGTAGTCCATATACTTGGTGTTCTTGGCATTTGTAGTCATGGATGGTGACCGAGGTGGCATATCCCATTGACTTCTAGAGCACCATCGTTGAGCCCGAACGAACCACGGGTAAGAGGCTTAACGATGCCAGACCGAACAACTCGGGAGGACGAGCCATAACTTTGCCGATCAATTATAAATGTTACGGAGGTTGCAATGTAATTTATTTTTTTAAAATCACCTGGGATATAAAATAATTTGGAAACGAAACAACTCATTCTCTTGACACAATGCATGGGCTTTTTTCTTGGGTAACTAAAATTGCAAAAGCCCGGTTCTTTTGGATCGGATTCGGGTCCGGACTTTGATATTTGGTAAATGGTACGGACAGAGTAGCAAACAAAGCAGCGACAGCGGAGTCTGGCTTTCGTTTTCTCTCTCTCTAGCTGATAGTCTTTGTTTGCTGGAAGACAATCCAAATCTCTTCAATCTTTTGTAAGACTATTACAATTTTTTTTTTCTTTTAATTGTTGCTTTTGATTTCAATCTGAATTCCTCCTCTCTTTTGGTTTCAGCTCTCTTCCTTTAATCTAATTTCGTAATTCAAACTCTTCGTTTCTTGCACTTCCTATTTTTGTTTTTCCCCTTCGTTTCCTCATTTTTGCTTGTTTGGAATCCGATATTTTTTTGGGTATGATTTGGTTCAGATTCAGTGTTTTGAGGGGTTTTTGCAAAATTAGGGCTTTGGGGTTTTGGTACCTTTAGGGTTCAACCTCTAAAGGTTTGATTTTGAAGGGAAATTTTGTGTATTTTGGTGCTTTTGATTATTGGGTATGTGCTAAGATTGCTTGGGGTTTTCTTTTTTCCCTGAATGCTTTAGGTTTGGTAGGTGTTTGATATTTTTCCCTAGTGAATTAGATTAATGATGTCTATGAACAACAATAATCCCTCCAAGAGACTTGGGGCGTCTTCGTCGCCTTTTGCTAATGCGGGGATGGTAGCTCCATCGATGTCTGGAAACCCTGCATTCTCGCAGGCACAGGCACAGGCACAGGCACAGGCACAGGCACAGGCTCAACTAAGTGCTGGTTTTCAAGCTCAGTTTCAGTTATCACAAGCTCAGGCCCTGGCTCTGGCTCAGTCGAAAGCTCTGGCCCATGCTCGAGCTCAAGGGCAGTCTGTTAATGCCCAATTCCAAGCACAACTTCAAGCTCAAAGTTTGGCCCTTAGCCAAGCTCAAAATGCTGGCCTTGGTAATTTAGGTTCCTCTTCTCCATCCATGTCTACTCCTGGCAATGCAAGTGCAAAGAGGATCTTTCAAAGGCCCCCCATGTATCCTCCTGCTGTTCCTATGACAAACACGATGCCCCCTTTGAGAACAATGGAACTTACACAGGCCGCTAGAAGAAAGAAGCAGAAGGTTCCTGACAAACAGCTACAAGAACGAGTGGCTACTATTCTTCCCGAATCTGCTTTGTATACCCAGCTTCTTGAGTTTGAGGCACGAGTTGATGCTGCGGTAGCTCGGAAAAAAGTTGACATCCAAGAGGCACTAAAAAGCCCACCTAGTGTTCAGAAAACTCTTCGAATATATGTTTTCAACACATTTGCCAATCAGATTCAGACAATTCCAAAAAAGCCTAATGCAGATCCCCCGGTGTGGACCCTTAAGATTATTGGGAAGATCTTGGAAGATGGGATAGATCCAGATCAGCCTGGGTTTGTTCATAAAACGAACCCCTTGTACCCTAAGTTTTCATCCTTCTTCAAAAGAGTGACTATCTCTTTGGATCAGAGACTATATCCGGATAATCATATCATTATATGGGAGCATGCTCGATCTCCTGCACCACAAGAAGGTTTTGAGGTGAAGCGAAAAGGGGAAAAAGAATTCACTGTGAATATACGGTTAGAAATGAATTATGTTCCCGAGAAGTTCAAGCTTTCTTCAGCTTTAATGGAAGTCCTTGGTATTGAGGTTGATACACGGCCTAGAATTTTAGCTGCAATCTGGCATTATGTGAAGGCTAGAAAACTTCAAAACCCAAACGATCCCTCTTGTTTTAATTGTGATGCACAGCTTCAGAAAGTTTTTGGGGAAGACAGGGTGAAATTTACCATGGTTCCACAGAAGATATTACAGCATTTGTCTCCACCACCACCCATACATTTGGAGCATAAAATCAAGCTTTCCGGTAATAGTCCTGCTGGAAATGCATGCTATGATGTGTTAGTCGACATACCCTTTCCTATACAAAGGGAATTGTCTGCTCTGTTGACAAATGGAGAAAAGACCAAAGAGATTGATGCTTGTGATGAATCAATATGTGCTACCATAAGGAAAATTCGTGACCACTGTAGAAGGCGTGCATTTTTTCTAGGATTCAGTCAATCTCCAGTAGAATTTATAAATGCTTTAGTTCAGTCTCAGACCCGGGATCTGAAATTGGTAACCGGAGAACCTAGTCGAAGTGCTGAAAAAGAGCGCCAATCAGATTTCTTTAACCAACAATGGTAAAGTATTTTTTTTTTTGCAGAATTGCAGTTACCCTTGTTGCGTTATGGATCATTTAGAGCAACCTAGCCTATCACTTTATAGATCTGCAGCCATTGCCACTACAATATCTTGCTTCTTGAATTGTGATTGATTTGGTAGAAACACGAGTACTTGATCGACCTTTTAACATTATTGCTCGCGCCTTGTCAAAAATATTTGTTGAATCCTCCATCTCATTGCCTATTACCGTAAAATATTACCATTGCATTAGATTTTTTGTTCTTTGCCAGAGCTCATATGTGAAACAATTGTCATTCATGCATGTATCATGTTTAAGCCTTGACGTTTAATCTTAAAATCTTCTGATCGACATAATCAAGTTCTTTTTCTGGTGATTCTGACAGGGTCGAAGATGCTGTTATCCGTTATCTGAATCGCAAGCCGCCTCCCGGAAGTGATGCTCCAGGAAGCACATGAATCATGTAAACCACCTGCTGCAAGTGATGTTTCTGGAAGCCAATGAATCATGTGAAGCCACCTGCTGGAATTGATTCTCCAGGGAGAACAAGAGTCGAGGCTCCGAAGGGATCGATGACTTGCTAGGTTTTTCATCGATTCAAATCATGTATCAACTGAAACTGTCTGTATACCAGTCCTTTAGAATCGCACTGTAGTTGAATGGGTGAAGTGGCTTGTTTAGGCATAATTATCATCAAACCCTTTTAAATTAGACATTGGAAATTAGCATGATAGTTTTGATCTTGTTCGATTTGTAATATATATATGGCACACTCCTGGACTATGATGCTTGGACAAGGGTGTGAGTATCAGATATGGGTACATGTTTAACATGAACATGGGTATGTCAATTTCTTTTCAAGTGGCCGCAGCTTGAAATTTATGTCCAAAAAGTATGGCTTATCCAACAAATACAAAAGCTATACTAGATTTTCTCTAATTTGTTATTATTAGAAAAAGAATATTCAACGAATAATTTGAGGTGGAATTATAAAGAATATGTATATAAATTTATTAATCTTTAAATGTTTAATTTAAAAAAAACTTTATATAAAAGTATGAAGGGATAAAGACGTTTTTATCGTTTATGATAAACTACTCAAATGGTTATTAAATTAGTTGCCCTTATAATCGAATCACATAATTATAAGTAAACAAAGTAATTTGATTTTTATATTAATTTTCAATTTTTTGATCTTTTATTTTTTTAGTGAAACAAGTATTAGATTCGTATTCGAAAGATTGAAAAAAGGTAAATTGAAAAGTTTAGAGACTAATAGTCGTTGATACTGAACGATGTATAGTGACGAAAATCGATAGTGACTGAAATTGATAGTGACATGTGACGGTGATGAGGGACAATTAACTATGTAAATTTTAGCTAAATTTAAGATCAAATTGATATTTAAAACTATGTAAACTTTAATTGAATTAAGTTGAAATTGATATTTGAACTTTAATTGGATTTAAGTTGAAATTGATATTTATATAAAGCATGAGATTTAAGATCAGATTGTATACCATATAAAAAGGGTAAACTACACCAATGGTAGTTAATATTTCAATAAATTTTTGTTTTTCTCACTGAAGTTTTAAAAATAACAAATTGGTCATTATTGTTTTTAATTTGTAACAAAATGGTCACTAATATTATCGATTTGTAACAAAATGGTCACACCACCGTTATTTTTGTTAAATTACTAATGTTGCAACGTTAATGAAAAGGTTAATATTAATATTATACCTAAACTATTTCTAAATCACCAAATAAGTCCTTAAATGCTTATTTTATATCTAATTTATCCCAAAAACTTTCTAATTTATATTTTTTCACTCGCCACCATCACAATTATATTCGAACCATTTTCCTTACAAAACAAAAACCACATTGCATAAATAAATGAGATTTTTCCATTGAAGACAAATACATGAGTATTTAAAGTCATATATTCAATTAATATTAATGTAAAAAGAATGTTTTTGGGATGGTTTTCATTTTGTAAGGAAATTGGTTAGAATATTTAAAGACAAACAAGAGTTTGTTTTAGTATGGTTCTTGTTTTGTAAGGAAAGTTGTTAGAATATAATTGAGATGGTGGGAGTTAAAAAACTAAAAATTAGAAAGTTTTTTTGGATAAATTAGATATAAAATAATTGTTTAAGAATATATTTTATGTTTTAATAATAGTTTAGGGGTAAAACTAAATATTAACTTTTTTTTTATTAATGGTGTCACATCATCAATTTAATATAGATAACGATGGAGTGACCATTTTGTTACAAATCGATATCGTTAGTAACTAATTTATTACGTTTAAAATGTCAGTGAGGAAAGAAACTTAGGGGTTGTTTGTTTACCTTTTAATGGAATCATTCAGCGTTGAATGTTGAACCGTTCAACATTCAGCGCATTTGTTTCACACCTCTGAATTATTCAGTACTAACTGATTCAGTAAAACAGTACTGAATGATTCAGTACATAAGTACATTATGAATGATTCAGAGCCATTATCAAACAGCATGTCACATTCAGAGTTAATTTATACAGAACCTCTAAATCATTCAGTATTTGAATCATTCAACGCTTAGACATTCTCAACATCCCTTACTCAAACATATTAGTGAGCATCGGTGTAGTTTACTCTAAAGAAAACCCGGTTTAACTTCTGAAAAAAACTGAAATTTGCCGTTCCTAATTTCATGGCTGCTAACGAGGTCATAACTATGAAGCCAGAGAGTAACTCTTTCTTTCTTTTAGGCATATTTCAAAATGCAGAGGGATTCAATTTGCACTTATTAATCTTTGTTGCTCCGTACAGGAATTCTATAGAGAGAAAAAATAGATCCTGAAAAAGAAAGCTCAAAGGAGCAGCCATGGAAGTGTCGGACGAACACGACCTTGATCGGCTGCTCTTCTTTGAGCAAGCTCGTAAAATTTCCGTAGCCAATTACGCTTCAGATCCTAATGATGCCGATGTTCGGTTTCCTCCTTCCTTGGATCTATTTTCTCCCTTTTTTCCAATTAAAATATGTTTTTGGCTAGTTTTTTTTCCCTTTTTTTTGGCAGAACTTGACTAGATGGGCCGGAACTTTACTGGAGTTGTCTCAGTGTCAAAGTCCTCAAGTTTCCCTGAAAATGATCAAAGGTTGTCGTATATATACTTTGTTTTTAAATCAATTGAAACCTTAATCTAATTGACAATAGTTTTTTTGCCATTGAGAATTGAATTTAGGTTATTTACATTGATTATTATTTTTTAAATTAGATGCTATTGCGAAGTTAGAGCAGGCATTGTCCATTAACCCTCAAAAGCATGAAGCTTTATGGTGTTTGGGAAATGCTGAGACTTCTTTAGCATTTCTGACCAATAAGGAGGATGAAGCCGGGCCTCATTTCGACAAGGCTGTTAAATATCTCCAGCAAGCAGTTGATGAGGTAATTTTATTTTATTTTTCGAAAGATCAAATTTGAATTCAAACCAGTGGATACTTTAGATAAATAAAAAGGATAAAAAGAAAAATTGACTTCAAAGCAATGGATAATTTGTAATCCAGTAATTACTGTCGGTTTGTTGAATTGCAATTAAACTTGGCCCAATCTTTTACTAAAAGGATTGAACCGACCCTATTGTCTATATTTTTTATAGATATATTTTTATCTAGATATATCTTAAATACAAAATCTTAACTGTACGTTCTCGTTATTGCTTGATGCGCTTTGTTTGACATGGAAAGTATATTGTGTGTATTTGTAGGATCCGACTAATGAAGTTTACCTCAAATCACTCGAAATATCTTCTAAGGTACTTTGATCTGGTTACCATTATATTGGTTTATTCTTAGGTAATGCTAATCTTCCATGTGATTTATAACTTTTAACAGCTTACCACAACATATTATGTTTAGCTGTGAAAGTGTGGGGTGGACCTTGTTTGATTTTGACTAGAGGTTTTTGATTCTATGTTTTCAGTATTAGATGAACTGATAGTGTTGTATTTTTTGATATTCAAGTGTGGGATTCTCGTTGTTTGTGTCTATCGTTCTTGTTTTTTCAGCTGTTGTTAATTTGCATGTTGAGGTTAGTAGAGGCTATATTGCTTCGAGCATTGTTTTTTATTTAAACACCTGTGACTGACACATTTTTGGACATGGATATGGGGATATTACGTTCCAATGAATCTTCAAATTCACAGGAAAATACTAGGACTAAAGTGTACATAGCGTATCTGATACTAACATAAAGGCCTTGTTTGAAGGATGGAAAATTTGTTAATCAAAAGGTTAAACTTCAAAGTAAGAAAGTGTTTATGAATCTTGACCATTTGATTAACAAATTTTCCATCCTTCATACCAAGCAAAGCCAAAAAGTCCAAGTAATATAGTGTAGAGGTCTCATGTAGTAATTGCTGCTGGTGTTTTCCTCCCCGATGCTATGAAATTGAGGTTCATATGAATGAAGCTCGGTGTTCTTTTTTATTGTAGAATAATGACAGTCTAGATTTTGTTTTTCATTCTGTACAAACTGCTAAATTTCGGAATGAATAAAGTTAATGATTTATGGTAATAGAAACATTCTGAGGGCATACAAGCATGAAAGAGAAGAGAAAGTCAATCGTTTAAAGATTTCATCCTTAAATGGAAGAGTTTAGAGAGAGATGTCTAGTTCAAACTGAGATACTTTGTTTGTGATATGTGATCTATAGGTTCTTTTCTTTTCTTTTCTTTTTCTCAGGCTCCAGAATTACTCCGTGACATTCTTGAGCATGGTTTAGATCAACAAATGGTTGGGGTTGGACCTCCTACTGCTGCTGCATCCAGTTCAGAAAATGTAATACTCATAATTTCTTCATTTCATGTTTCTCTTCATCCTATCTGCACTTAGACTTCCTGTCTTCTTACCTGTTATCTCTGTGTGGCTTGTATTGTTATGTGCTGTTTAATTGATCCCGATTTCTACACTATCTACATTGGCATTTGGAAATGTAAAGGATAGAAGTCCATTAGTTTTTTCTTTTCTTGTTGTTTCCTGTTGATCTACGTTTAAAATTGTTCATAGCTTCAGGGAAACAACATCAAAAATGTTTGATGTGTTGCAGATGTACTGTGGTTAATTTAGGGGACACGCATTTACACTTCCATGCATAACATGCACAAGTGTAATTTATAATGTAGATAGGATGCTTTTGTGCATCTGAGTGGCTTTGTTGAATAAAAACACGCAAAGGATCACATATATCGTGAGGGAGGAATTGACATTATATTGTATACATGAATCAAATGTGAATAGAAAGGATCAATGTAGTTCTCATATGTGGGATACTGATTTGAGCTGCTGGGTTTCTCAAATCTCCCATGAACTACATTTTTCCCCCTTTTTCCTCCTTTTTGGGTGATGAACAGAGGGATTATGGGAGATGGGAATGAACTATCCTGGACGATTGCTCAGTCCTTGGTCTCGGATATGTTAAGATTGTTTCATTAGCATACAGTTTTAGTCAATTTAATGACTTCTGTGTGCTTGAGCCAGGATTTATCATCTTTACTTTCTTGCAGCCTGGTAAAAAGGGTAAGAAAAACAATGATCTCAGATATGACATATTTGGATGGATAATCCTTGCTATTGGCATCATCGTATGGGTCGGTTTTGCTAAATCTCGATTGCCACCACCACCACGATAAGCTGAGGGATGCCTTGCAGTGCCAGCCTTCAGACCTTTGAGTTTGAGACATTGGGAGGATAATTGATAATTATTTGTTATCTTAGTTATTAATATCTTTTACCTAGTTCATGCTGCTTTAGCTTAGTCTTCTGCATTTGCTACAAGTTAGAATTTA